TATGGTGAGGTCTGGGTCTGAGCGTAGGCAAGGTGGTGTATGGTGAAGTCTGGGTCTGAGCGTAGGCAAGGTGGTGTATGGTGAAGTCTGGGTCTGAGCGTAGGCAAGGTTTCCAAGTCGTTATTCTGTATATTTAGAGTGGGTCTTTGTGTCTTTTATGAGTATAGCTTCCAGAATGTGCAGTCTTCTCTGGTGAGTGGTGGATGCCAGGATTGTTCTAATTTCTCTTAGCATGTTCCTAGTGAGTGTTGTGTTGTGTACACTTTGCTCTGGGTGATAGAGCCCCATCTCTGTGATGCAGAGCCCCGTCTCTGTGATGCAGAGCCCCGTCTCTGTGATGCAGAGCCCCGTCTCTGTGATGCAGAGCCCCGTCTCTGTGATGCAGAGCCCCGTCTCTGTGATGCAGAGCCCCGTCTCTGTGATGCAGAGCCCCGTCTCTGTGATGCAGAGCCCCGTCTCTGTGATGCAGAGCCCCGTCTCTGTGATGCAGAGCCCCGTCTCTGTGATGCAGAGCCCCGTCTCTGTGATGCAGAGCCCCGTCTCTGTGATGCAGAGCCCCGTCTCTGTGATGCAGAGCCCCGTCTCTGTGATGCAGAGCCCCGTCTCTGTGATGCAGAGCCCCATCTCTGTGATGCAGAGCCCCGTCTCTGTGACGCAGAGCCCCGTCTCTGGGATGTAGAGCTGCCCCGCCGAGATCGGAGACCAGGCCGGAGGGCCGTTGATCCCCAGAAGCTACACAAGGTAGAGACGACAGAGCCCCGTCAAGACGACAGAGCCCCGTCCAGACGACAGAGCCCCGTCAAGACGACAGAGCCCGACAGAAACCAAGAGCGCGTGTCGAAGCGACAGTTTCCCCAGAAATGAATGATTTACAAGGAATGTGATTAGCTCAAGTGAAGGCGGGAATCCTCCTGAGAACTACAGGCGCTAAGTGCCTCCGAGTTCACAGGATCAAAACCTTTTGTCCCGATTTTTTTTCCCAGTTGGGGGTCCTGCTCTCCCAACCCTGTTAATTCGCGCCTCCTACGACCTTCACCTCGCGTTTTTCCGTGTTTCTTCTGTTTGGTTCTCTTTGTTTCTTGAAGAATGGCTAGGGATTCTTGGAGTTATAATAAGCCATTTAGGTAGAGTTTATTGGTAAATAATACAAGCACTTTTCTCATCAATGTTTTTTATTTGTTTTTATAAGAATTCGGGGCAGGTGTGTGTTTTTGTTTGTTTACATGACCAATTTTTTGTTTTGTTTTTTTGCTTGTTTTCGGAATGCGTGACAGTTTTGACTGAAAAAGTGCTTACCTCTGTTGTGATTGACTTGAGAGTAGTTGTGCACCTTACACAGTTGTTCAGTAGATTTGTTGAGTTGTGCACGTGTTGTGATTGACCTGAGAGTAGTTGTGCACCTGTTGTGATTGACCTGAGAGTAGTTGTGCACCTGTTGTGATTGACCTGAGAGTAGTTGTGCACCTGTTGTGATTGACCTGAGAGTAGTTGTGCACCTGTTGTGATTGACCTGAGAGTAGTTGTGCACCTGTTGTGATTGACCTGAGAGTAGTTGTGCACCTGTTGTGATTGACCTGAGAGTAGTTGTGCACGTGTTGTGATTGACCTGAGAGTAGTTGTGCACCTGTTGTGATTGACCTGAGAGTAGTTGTGCACCTGTTGTGATTGACCTGAGAGTAGTTGTGCACCTGTTGTGATTGACTTGAGTCTTTTGGAGAGGGACGTCTTAATGACTTATTGACGTGATTATTACGTCTTAGTGATTATACGTCTTAATAGATTATTGTCCTTTTGTAGCAAGATGAAAGTTGAGAATGTGTGAAATTCAAGGAGGAGGAGAAGCAGAAGGAGGAGGAGCAGCAGGAGAAAGTGCTGAAGATGACACGAAGAACAAGGAGAATGAAACGGACGAGACAAGGAGGGCGGGGCCGTAGAGGAGGACAATGAGAAGGACATAGAGGAGGACAATGAGAAGGACATAGAGGAGGACAATGAGAAGGACATAGAGGAGGACAATGAAGATAAAGGGGAGGCTGCACGGGGGGACGAGGAAGACAAGGAGGAAGATAAGGAGGAGGAAGATAAGGAGGAGGAAGACAAGGAGGAGGAGGAGGAGGTCTTCCAGTAGGGTAATCCTTAATGCGTTGGGTCCTGAGAACGAGCAGCTGGTGAGATCAGAGGAGCAGTGTTACCAACCTCTTCGTCGACTCCGCCCCCTTTAGCTGTTCCTCCAAAGTCTTCCTTTTTCACTCCCTACTCCTCTTTCCTCCTAATTCTCTTCTCCTCCATCTCCTAATTACCTCTGTTTTTATTTTGTTTCTCCTCACACACTCTCTACCCTTTTGACTTCTTTCCCATTCGTTGGCTCCTTCAGTTCTTTCTTTTTCACAAAGCTATTCTCCTCCAACACGCGAACGCCCTGTACATCCACAAACATCTATACATGCATGTATGCATACATACATACATAGTATACATGCATATAGTCAAATATACATACATGAGCTTGCAACATGCATACAAAAGGCAATATGTGTATAAGCTACATACATAAAAGGCCTACACACTCGCTTACATGACTACATTCTCGTACACATACATTCATACATACATGTGTTAGACAAGGTAGGCTTCTAGTGGCAGCCAGAAGTTGTATGATTCCGAGGGTGTGAGTGGAGTGATTCGGAAGGAAAGGGGAGTGATTGGGAAAGTGGGGGGGGGGGGTTGATTCGGAAGGAGGAAAGTGATTCGGAAGGGTATGGTGGGATAGGAGACCACTAGGGGTGAGTCAGAGAGGGTTTACGATCAATCAGGATTGTAGAACGCAATTTTTTGTTTAATTATTATAATATAAAAAGGTAAAGGAGACAGCGAGAAAGAGAGAGAGAGAGAGAGAGAGAGAGAGAGAGAGAGAGAGAGAGAGAGAGGGGAGAGAGAGGGGAGGGGAGAGAGAGGGGAGGGGAGAGAGAGAGAGGGAGGAAGGGATGAAAAGTGGGAAGGGAAGGTGACGAAAGAGCAGGAATCAAAAAATTGAAATCGTGAGAGGTTTCCGAGCGATGTTTTGGTGTCTAGCTGAGCCTGATGGATGGTCCACCGGATACTCTTCAATAACATTAATTTGTCCCACTCTCCCGCCCCCCCCCCTAGCCCCAGTCCCGCCCCCCCTAGCCCCAGTCCCGCCCTCCCCCTAGCCCCAGTTCTGCCCCCTAGCCCCAGTTCTGCCCTCCCTAGCCCCAGTCCCGTCCCCCCTAGCCCCAGTCCTGCCCCCTAGCCCCAGCTATTCCCTTTCACTGCTTTCTCTCCCACTCCCCACACCTCCTTCCCAAACCCTTTCCCACCTGTCTACCCATTTCCTCCCTTTTGCACTTTCTTGGTCTTCCATTTCTTCCTTCTGACTGTTCCTTCTTTTCCACACGCTTCCCATGCCTATTCTTCCTTTCTTCCGCTGTTTATTTCTCCCTTATACTTTCAGCTTTGTTTCATTACCTACCTGGCGGTGCTCATCTTCGTGTGCTCACCTGTCTATTGCCACCTGGATGGTCTCACCTGTCTATTGTCACCTTGATGTGCTCACCTGTCTATTGTCACCTGGGTGTGCTCACCTGTCTATTGTCACCTGGATGTGCTCACCTGTCTATTGTCACCTGGGTGTGCTCACCTGTCTATTGTCACCTGGGTGTGCTCACCTGTCTATTGTCACCTAGCTGCACTCTTACAGCTGTGTCTAGCTGTCTGCGTTTAACAGTACTCACCTAACTATAGTCACCTCACCTGATCAACCAGGCTGTGACTCATACGTCAGGCTGCGAGCAGCCGCGTCCAACAGCCTGGTTGATCAGTCCGGCAACCAGGAGGCCTGGTCGACGACCGGGCCGCGGGGACGCTAAGCCCCGGAAGCACCTCAAGGTAACATCAAGGTAAGGTAACCTAGCTGTACTCAGTGTTGTACTCGTTAGCTGTACTAATTAATCTAGTTGTACTCGCCTAGATTTGCTGACGAAACTGTACCCACCTAGATGTATTTACCTAGCTGTACTTACCTAGCTGTACTTACCTAGCTGTACTTACATACTTGTACCCACCTAGCTGTACTTACATACTTGTACTCACCTAGCTGGGCTTTTAGAGGTCTAACCGCTTCGGCTGTTGGGTTCCGCCACGACCTCAAACAGTCAACTCGTGTACACCTTCTTGAAGCCTTTGGACGGCTGTGTTTACGTTGCACAACATAGACGAGACCACAGCAGCAATCCTCGCTTCACGGCACTGCTCTACAGCTCTGGCCCCAGCAGTCTTTCTGGCATCTATGCAGCTCTTTAGAGTACTCTATGTCCACCTGTTTCCCTTCGTGTGGATCTTTCATTACAGCTCTTTCTCTGGGTTTGCGACTTCGTAAAAAGTCAAAATAAAAGTCAAAATCAAAGTAAATAGAAGTAAAAATTTCGCAAAATAACTGTATTTTGCGAACTGTATTTTTCATAATTTCATAATAACTGTATTTTTCAAGAAGCGTACAAACTGGAGCATCCCTCCTAACGCTGGTGTGTTGAAAAAGTCAATATAACCTTGCTTGAATTATTATTAATATTTCCTATGTTTTAACGGATTGGTGGACACCGTACAAATTGTGGCTTATTTGGGGAGAGGACAGTTGATGAACCAGCCAGATTTTCTCTCTCTCGCTTCATGCAGGTCGGCGCTCAATCCCCCGACCGTCCAAGTGGTTAGGCACCATTCCTTCCCCCCGTCCCATCCCTAATCCTTATCCTGACCCCTTCCAAGTGCTATATAGTCGAAAGGGCTTGGCTCTTACCCCTGATAGTTCCCTTCTCTCTCTCTCTTTCTCTCTCCTTCTCTTTTCTCTCTCTTTTCTCTCTCTCTCTTTCTCTCTCTCTCTCTCTCTCTCTCTCTCTCTCTCTCTCTCTCTCTCTCTCTCTCTCTCTCTCTCTCTCTCTCTCTCTCTCTCTCTCTCTCTCTCTTCACGTTATTGTTCTTGTAATATGTGCAGCCTGGGGTCTGTGCTTCCCTCTGAGGTCCTTAAGCGTCTGTCTCTTTCAGAATATATAGTTTATTTGGACTCTAGATTCTGTTATCCTCCGGCTTGTGGGCGTCGTCACGGGCGGCTCAGTGTTCCGTCGGGTGGGCGTCGTCACGGGCGGCTCGGTGTTCCGTCGGGTGGGCGTCGTCACGGGCGGCTCAGTGTTCCGTCGGGTGGGCGTCGTCACGGGCGGCTCAGTGTTCCGTCTGGTGGGCGTCGTCACGGGCGGCTCGGTGTTCCATCGGGTGGGCGTCGTCACGGGCGGCTCAGTGTTCCGTCGGGTGGGCGTCGTACGGGCGGCTCAGTGTTCCGTCGGGTGGGCGTCGTCACGGGCGGCTCAGTGTTCCGTCGGGTGGGCGTCGTCACGGGCGGCTCAGTGTTCCGTCTGGTGGGCGTCGTCACGGGCGGCTCGGTGTTCCGTCGGGTGGGCGTCGTCACGGGCGGCTCAGTGTTCCGTCGGGTGGGCGTCGTACGGGCGGCTCAGTGTTCCGTCGGGTGGGCGTCGTCACGGGCGGCTCAGTGTTCCGTCGGGTGGGCGTCGTCACGGGCGGCTCAGTGTTCCGTCGGGTGGGCGTCGTCACGGGCGGCTCAGTGTTCCGTCGGGTGGGCGTCGTACGGGCGGCTCAGTGTTCCGTCGGGTGGGCGTCGTCACGGGCGGCTCAGTGTTCCGTCGGGTGGGCGTCGTCACGGGCGGCTCAGTGTTCCGTCGGGTGGGCGTCGTACGGGCGGCTCAGTGTTCCGTCGGATGGGCGTCGTCACGGGCGGCTCAGTGTTCCGTCGGGTGGGCGTCGTCACGGGCGGCTCAGTGTTCCGTCGGGTGGGCGTCGTCACGGGCGGCTCGGTGTTCCGTCGGGTGGGCGTCGTCACGGGCGGCTCGGTGTTCCGTCGGGTGGGCGTCGTCACGGGCGGCTCAGTGTTCCGTCGGGTGGGCGTCGTCACGGGCGGCTCAGTGTTCCGTCGGGTGGGCGTCGTCACGGGCGGCTCAGTGTTCCGTCGGGTGGGCGTCGTCACGGGCGGCTCAGTGTTCCGTCGGGTGGGCGTCGTCACGGGCGGCTCGGTGTTCCGTCGGGTGGGCGTCGTCACGGGCGGCTCGGTGTTCCGTCGGGTGGGCGTCGTCACGGGCGGCTCGGTGTTCCGTCGGGTGGGCGTCGTCACGGGCGGCTCAGTGTTCCGTCGGGTGGGCGTCGTCACGGGCGGCTCAGAAAGCTCCTACAATATCTCATTTCCTCTGATGGATCGTTCTCGTCCGATCATCATCGGGAATTTTAATCGAATTATTTATTTTTTTTCTCTCCTGCGCTAAATTGCTTTTCCTTATCCGGAAGATGCCACACCCAGGGTGTAGTGGTGGTGGTGTGTAAGGGTGGGAGTGTGGTGGTATGTGTAGGGGGTGGGAGTGTACTGGTATGTGTATGGGTGGGAGTGTCCTGGTATGTGTAGGGGTGGGAGTGTCCTGGTATGTGTAGGGGTGGGAGTGTCCTGGTATGTGTAGGGGGTGGGAGTGTCCTGGTATGTGTATGGGTGGGAGTGTCCTGGTATGTGTAGGGGGTGGGAGTGTCCTGGTATGTGTATGGGTGGGAGTGTCCTGGTATGTGTAGGGGATGGGAGAGTCCTGGTATGTGTAGGGGTGGGAGTGTACTGGTATGTGTAGGGGTGGGAGTGTCCTGGTATGTGTATGGGTGGGAGTGTCCTGGTATGTGTAGGGGTGGGGAGTGTCCTGGTATGTGTAGGGGGTGGGAGTGTCCTGGTATGTGTATGGGTGGGAGTGTCCTGGTATGTGTAGGGGTGGGAGTGTCCTGGTATGTGTAGGGGTGGGAGTGTCCTGGTATGTGTAGGGGTGGGAGTGTACTGGTATGTGTAGGGGTGGGAGTGTACTGGTATGTGTAGGGGTGGGAGTGTCCTGGTATGTGTAGGGGTGGGAGTGTACTGGTATGTGTAGGGGTGGGAGTGACCTGGTATGTGTAGGGGGTGGGAGTGTCCTGGTATGTGTAGGGGTGGGAGTGTACTGGTATGTGTAGGGGTGGGAGTGTACTGGTATGTGTAGGGGTGGGAGTGTCCTGGTATGTGTATGGGTGGGAGTGTCCTGGTATGTGTATGGGTGGGAGTGTCCTGGTATGTGTAGGGGTGGGAGTGTCCTGGTATGTGTAGGGGTGGGAGAGTCCTGGTATGTGTAGGGGTGGGAGTGATGTGGTATGTGTAGGGGTGAGAGGACTCTTGAAGCTAGTGCACAACTAGAGACTTGTAGAGAGGGCCAGAGGGAATGTCATTGATGTGGGAAAGGAGATTTCAGATTGGCTCCATGATGCTGCGAGAATCAGTTTCTTCTGATGGTCACAACGAGTAGTTAGAAGGAGCCTGACTATGGGTGAGTGTGTGCACAGTGTATCATCACCCCACGCTAGGTGACCCCATCCTCCCATGGTAGTGGACTATCCTAGGTAGATGTTGTGAGGTGGAACAGTTGATGTTGTGATTCTCTTATGAAGTGATTAGAACTGGGCCAGTAATCTGAGCGTTAAGTTGATCTCCGGAGACAAGGATGTTGAGGAGGAGTTTGTGGTGGTGAACCTCGCTATGTTGGCTGTAGAACTACGAGCTGTGGTAGTGAACCTCGCTATGTTGGCTGTAGAACTACGACTTGTGGTAGTGAACCTCGCTATGTTGTCTGTAGAACTACGAGCTGTGGTAGTGAACCTCGCTATGTTGGCTGTAGAACTACGAGCTGTGGTAGTGAACCTCGCTATGTTGGCTGTAGAACTACGAGCTGTGGTAGTGAACCTCGCTATGTTGTCTGTAGAACTACGACTTGTGGTAGTGAACCTCGCTATGTTGTCTGTAGAACTACGAGCTGTGGTAGTGAACCTCGCTATGTTGTCTGTAGAACTACGACTTGTGGTAGTGAACCTCGCTATGTTGTCTGTAGAACTACGAGCTGTGGTAGTGAACCTCGCTATGTTGTCTGTAGAACTACGACTTGTGGTAGTGAACCTCGCTATGTTGTCTGTAGAACTACGAGCTGTGGTAGTGAACCTCGCTATGTTGGCTGTAGAACTACGACTTGTGGTAGTGAACCTCGCTATGTTGTCTGTAGAACTACGAGCTGAGGTAGTGAACCTCGCTATGTTGGCTGTAGTCATCTCACTCCTCCCATCTCTGCACCTCCTCATTTTCCACCAATGTTCCCCGCCTCCTCTTCTTCTTGTCTTTCCCCGTCAAAACTTCCTTCCCATCGGTCTCGTCCATTCATTCTTACCTTCCTTCATTACTTTCCAAAGCTGCTTTCTTTCCCTATCTTCGTTCCATCCCTACTATCTTCCTCCTCGCTATCAAGTTCTACGTCAACCCCCACCCCCAAAACCTCTCATATTGCTAGCTATGTTTCCCCTCAAAACCTGCAGGACGAAGCCTAAAGAAAATGGGAATCAAATTATTAAGGAGGCACTTTATCTAGGAATTACCCAAGCTTATCGGGGAGATTTTAAGGATTTACGCTTAAACGGAGAGGAGTATAGAGCGATAGGATAAGGGGGGATAGATAGGAAAATTAGCCTGGATAGAAGGAAATCAGCCAGGGGGGGGGGGACTGTGCTGTAACCCACTCACACTCCAAGAAGCCGGGTTCAGTCCCACGACAAGACGGCAACAGTTGGGCTTGTTTCCATTTAACTCATGTCTCTATTCACCAAGCAGTAAAGCTGTTGTTTACGTCTTTCTCTCTCTCTCTCGTTCCTGGCTCGTACGTCATGAGTCTGTTGACGTGTTCGCTTCTGTCATTACACCAACCCGTCCTCCTACAGAGAACGTCGCATTTTGCTCGTAGGCGTTACATAAGGCAAACAAATTGTCGTACTAGAAAATGGAAGCGACTGGCGAAAGTGACCTACTGTCCCGTTTTCTGTTGTGGGTCCTCTGGCAGGTTATAAGAGGACACTTTACATTGACCGTTTTCTAGACGCTGGAAAACTTTAGAAGGACGGACTGCTCTCCTACCGTGAGCCTTCATGGGGGGACTCACCTTCAGAACTGACTCACCATCAGCAAGAACTCACCATCAGGGGGAATATTTTACTCACAAATAGACTCACATACAGAGTAGACTAAGGTAATTTGCATTAATTACCAAAACACCTTGACTCTCCCAAGAATATCCTCCATATTTGCATGTTTACCTAATCAAATTAATATTTTTGGATGTAGATAGTGATGTTCCTTGATTATGAAGTCAGACATTATTATAATTTTTAATATCGATTTGTAATTTTTTCAACTTCAGAGCGAATATGGTTCCTTGGCTTACTGGGCGAGGTATATGGATGGTAATGGAATAATGGGGAGGGGGTAATGGGGATTTGGGGGGGCAGGAGGGTTGTAGGTGAGAGGAGGAGGAGGAGGGGGGGGGGGGGAGGGTTATACACATGGGTGTTGTTCATGGAAGCATGGTTGTGGGTTGTTTCGGTTGGTGGAGGTTGGTGGGTGGTTATTGTTGTGTTGGGTGGTTAAGGTTGTTGTGGGTGGTTAAGGTTGTTGTGGGTGGTTATGGTATTGTTGTGGTGGGTGGTTATGGTTGTTGTGGGTGGTTATGGTATTGTTGTGGTGGGTGGTCATGGTTGTGGTGGGTGGTTATAGTTGTGGTGGGTGGTTAAGGTTGTTGTGGGTGGTTATGGTATTGTTGTGGTGGGTGGTTATGGTTGTGGTGGGTGGTTATGGTTGTGGTGGGAGGTTATGGGTGTGGTTGATGGTTTTTGGGAGGTTATGATTGTGGTGGGTGGCTGTGGTTGTGGTGACTAGTTATGGTTGTGGTGGGCGTTTGTTTTAGGTGGTTATGGTTGTGGTGGGTGGTAATAGTTGTGGAGGGTGGTATGGTTGTGGTGATTGATTATGGTTGTGGTTAGGAGGTAGGGGACGCGTAATAGTTATGAATTGATTGATTGATCCGTAACATAAAGGACACCATAACATAGCTCACTTACCACCATACAAGTAAATAATCATCTAACCTTCTGACATTATCAACAAATCTCGGATCAACTCTCCAACAAGGAGATTCAAACCGGAGGGTACAGTGCTTAGCGGCTCCTCAGGCCGAAAGGAATCACACCGTGAGGATGAAACACTTAGTCTGTGTTTCAATGACCAGAAGGGAGATGGCAAGTGTGGGTGAAACAGTTCATAAGGGTGAACAACACACCACAGGCACCATCAATACCACCATTAACACCACCATTAATACCACCATTAATTTCCCCATCAATACTACCATCATCACCAACACTACACAGGTACCACCATTGAAATACACATTCGCCATTTATCATAACCAATCACGTATATTTAACAAAAATCTATTGCAATAAACCAATAAAAAATCAATTCGCCACCAATCACCAACACCTTGTTACCGCCACCACCGAACACCAGCACAAATTGTTAGCACCAATCAACAAGCTTCAACACCAATCAGTACCACCAGTCACAAAACGCCAGCACCAATCACTAGCACCATCAACATTGGTTCAAAAATATATTATCATGTGTCAGGAACTGGTAGGCATACAGACCGTCCTCCAATTAAAAATAATTAACGGACTATTTCAAATAAACTCGCTGATTACTGGAATCTAGCGGACTACTGGACGCTGGTTCGTTGGTGGACCCCATTGGGCTGCTGGAGCCCCATGGGTTAATGGAAGTTCGTTGGTGGACCCCATTGGGCTGCTGGAGCCCGTATGGGTTAATGGAAGTTCGTTGGTGGACCCCATTGGGCTGCTGGAGCCCGTATGGGTTAATGGAAGTTCGTTGGTGGACCCCATTGGGCTGCTGGAGCCCGTATGGGTTAATGGAAGTTCGTTGGTGGACCCCATTGGGCTGCTGGAGCCTCATGGGCTAATGGAGGTTAGTTCGTTGGTGGACCCCATTGGACTGCTGGACCAGAATATTTTGAACGTTGGAGAGTGGCGTGACTAGAGTGTTTCCGTAGAGAATGTGTGACTGGAGAGACTATACTATTTTGACCCATAGAGTGCCGGGGGTGACTGTGGAGCAGCCGGTCGCGTGTACTGAGGGAGGGAGCGTGGGTGGCGCCTTCCTCACATAATGAGCGCCTCACTTTGATCTGGCTCTGCTAACAGAGACTTGTGATTACGATGGAGTCGTTGTTACTGGGTTCTGTGATGGCTCTTTGATATGCGTGTCGTGGGAGCGTGAGAGGTTGGGGGGTTCGACAGTGATAAGTGAGAATATGAGAGGGTTTGACACCCCCTAACCTCACTCGCACCACAGCCTCACCACACCCTCTCCGCATCT